TTGAATTATCACCTGGGTACAAGACGAGGCTATATTTAGGCTCGACGCAAGGCCCCGTAACCAGGTGTTACGCGAAGGTTCCGCGGGTTGCGAAGCGTCCCGAACAGATCCTTCTCAAATTCGGTAGAAGGCAATTCGGTGGCAACCGAAAAGCCAGAATTCGGTGCACGCAACCTAGCTCGGTGCTATAACTAAAATAAAATATAGGAAAGCAACTAGCCTAGGAAATCAAGAAATTCATGCATGCTTATAATCATCCTATGCTAGAAATAGCATTATAAAGTAAAGGCAAGCAAGCATAGCTGGCACAAGCCGACGTACTCTGACACGTTCCCCCCTCAAAGCTGGGTGGCGTGAGAAACACCCTGCTTGACAAGATAGTCCTTGAGAGCACGGCGTGCGTTGCCCATATCAGCTTCTGCAACTCAACTGTCCTCAGTGGGGTCGTATCCCTTCCATCGTATCAGGAACTCGAGGGTCTTGCCGCCGCGGCGCCGATGAGTGAGAACGCACTCCACTTCGTACTCTGGTTCATCCTGTATGAGAACAGGTGGTGGTGGCGGTAGCTGCCGTCCCTGGAACTGTTGGTTGGGGTCCTTGTAGTGCTTCAGTAGCTGGACATGGAAAGCGTTGCGAAGCTTCCATATCTGTCGTAAGCGTAAGCGGAATGTAACTGGTGTCACCTGTGCCTAAACGAGAAAAGGACCACAGAAGCAAGGCCGGAGTTGGGATGGGAGGTGAGAAAGGTTCAAGTTGCGCGTGTCAAGAAGCACCTGATCTCCGACTGCTACTGTGTGATCACGTCGCTGGCGATCGGCATACTGCTTCTGGGAGTTCTGCATCGTGTTGAGACGTTGCTGAGTCTTCTCCCATAGCTGCTGTATGGTGGTGATGAAGTCATGTGCGGCTTGGACGTGAGCCGGTGTGGTTGGCTGCTGTGGTGTGAGTGGTTCCCGTCCGTAACACAGGAAGAAATGACTTTTCCCTGTGGCCGCATGTGATGCGTTGTTGTAAGCGAACTCTAGGGCTGGTAACTATGTGTCCCAGTGGCTGACGACGTCTTTGCAAGCTGTGCGTAGTAACTGTTCAACCACCTGATTGAGTCGCTCTGTCTGTCCGTCAGTCTATCGGTGGTATGCTGAGGACATCGCAAGTTTAGTCCACAATAATCCCATGAGCTCCTTCCAGAACTTACTCGTGAATTTGGGGTCTCTTTCTGAGATGAGTTTAGCGGGGATGCCGTGGATGGTGATGATGCGGTCGAAGAAGAGGCGAGCAGTTGCTTCAGCAGTAGCTGTGGCGTTGGTCGGTGTGAAGTGACCCATTTTGGAGAACTTATCGATCACTACGAGGATGGAATCATGCCCCCGTGAGGTCGAAGGAAGTCCTGTGATAAAGTCGAGGCTAACGACCTGCCATGGCTGCTCCGGTACAGGTAGAGGCTAAAGTAACCCTGTTTTTTTCTGCTTGCTGCTCTTCATCCGCTGGCACGTGTCGCAAGAGGTGACGAACTGCTGCACGTCTGCTGCCATCCCGGGCCTGTAGTAATACTTCGCTATCCCTGCTAACGTCTTGTTGCTCCCGAAATGTCCCCCATAAGGTACTTCGTGAAACTCCTCCAGTAGGATCTGCCGTAGCGGGGCGTAATTCGGTACCCAAATCTTTCCTGAACCCTTCCTTACAGCTAAGTCTTTCTCCCACTGTAACAGCTTCTTGGTCTGTGCTATAGTGATCTCTGCGTCCACGAAGTACCCATGTTGGAATAGACCCTTGAGCAGATGGTTCATCCCGTCGAGCTAGATGCCTGCTACATGTCCAAGGCGGCTTAATGCATCTGCCTTGTTGTGTAGCACGGGATTGTCGACGATGTCGTAGTGGAAGTGAGTTTCCAGGAAGTCCACCCACCGCACCTGTCGTCGAGAGAGCGTCGGCTGCGACTTCAGGTATTTGAGACTGCAGTGGTCAGTATAGACTGTAGTCTTGGCTCCTTCTAGGTAACACCTCCACGCCTTGAAGGCTACGACTATAGCTAAGGCTTCCTTGTCGTGGATGGGGTAGTTCATGTCAGAGGTCCACAAGAGATCCCCGACTGATCCTAGGGAACGGTTACAGGCTCGTTGTCCTGGGGGGTTATGGGCGCTCTGACCCGCTACTTAACAAGCCCTTTTATCCCAGTCGTCTAGTGGCTGGGATTCTGACATGGTATCAGAGCGGTCTCAGATTCGAATCCCAGTGTGTGCGCTTCGGGCATCCCAGTGCGGGGGGGTGTCAGAGGTCCACTGGAGATCCCTGATTGATCCTAGGGAGGGGTTACACGCTCTTTGTCCAGGGGGGTTATGGGTGTACTGACCCGCAACTTAACAAGCTCTTTTATCCCAATGGTCTAATAGTTGGGATTCTGAGAGTTCAATTCTGCTCCGTGTAGCTTCTTACTTAGGTAGGCGATAGGCTGTAACCCGTTCCCGTGATCTTGCATCAGTACTGCTCCGACTGCCTGGTCACTAGTGTCTGCTTCCACCACGTAGTCCTTGTCGGAGTCCGGTAGGATAAGTACTGAGGCTGGGGTCAGTGCTGTCTGTAGCTGTTCCATGGCTTGCTGATGAGGGGTATCTCATTTGAAGGCGTATCCTTTTTTAGTCGGTTGGTCAGTGGTGCTGCAATCTTAGCGTACTGTGGCACGAACCTGTTGTAGTAGTTGGCGAAGCCTAGGAACTGCTGCAACTCCTTCACGTTCTCCGGTAATTTCCACTTCTTGACGGCTTCAATCTTCCGCGGGTCCACGTGTACGCCCTCGGCACTCACCATGTGCCCGAGAAACTGCACCTTCTTCAGGGCGAAGTTGCTCTTCGATAGCTTCACGTAGAATTTGTTCTTCTGCAGGATCTCAAACACCTTCCGTAGATGTGTTGAGTGATGCTACCATTCGCATTCACGTCTGTCTGCCTCCCATCATATGTTCGTGCGTTGCATGCGTGTTGTGAGTGTGTGCAAGAATTTGTGTTTTGTGCGGTTTGGTTTTTCTGAGTGTGTGTGTGTGTGTGTGAACGTTATTTGGCTTGAGCAGATATCTGATGTGACTCCTCTGCTCAAGAGCTTTCCGAGGAACCAAGTATCGCTTCAATCGGAGCACGAACAAGAAAGTTACGAACGTTGGAGTTCGTATGCTTTTGATATTTGGTTGTGGTGACTATGGGAAGTTGTGGGGTTGACTCAATATGGGGTACAGACTTTTGGGGGTTGGGAAATTCGTCTTTTCTACTGTAGTTGCTGCCAGATGGTTGGAAGAAACCAAAGCAGGTTGGCAAGTGTGGCCAAGTTGGGTTGAGGTGGACAATGGAGGTTGGGATAGTGACAAAGGTCAAAGTTGGGTTGCCTATGGGGAAGGGAATTGTATGGCATGGGGTTTCCTTGGTTGGGGACTCTCTTGGGACCTTCCCTCTCGTCCTCCTCATCCCTTCCACCTGGTTTAGTGCTACTCCAATTCTCTTGTGTGAACTTGTGTGAACTTTGTGATTGAGTTAAGATTCTATGGCAGCATACCCCCTAGTGCGCTGAAATCGATAACTCAAGACACACTTCACCTTTCCGTACGATGCAACTTGGGAATTGTAGCCACGGATTAGAGCTACAACATATCTCATTTTGGTGAAGTTTTAACCGTGAAATTTCCGTTGACGGCGTTTCTTATGAACTCGACTTTTCTGTTCAGAAACTAGGCCCAACGATGTTGAGATATTTTGGCTCCTAATTTTCATAGAATCCGTCCTTAGTCTCAAACAAGTGGTATCAGAGCTGATTAAGGACTTTGTGGAGAGTCTACTGAAGTCTGAAGACCCTCCTAGACCTGTTGTGCCAACACATTATAGTGGCACGGTCATCGCACTCCCATTCGGCCTACGAGCCTGTTCAGCTTCTGGAATTTTGTGGGGCGGTTGTTCAACATGTGTTCTTCAAACCCTCAGAGTTTCAGAGGTTTTGAAGCAGTTACCAAGGCATGACAACATTTTATGTTTCAAGACTTATGGCATCCCGGAAGTGTGTGTTACTCCTTTTTGGTAACATCCGAGTTCACCATTTCGGCTGCTGACTCGTCTACCAAGATCCGATTGGTCTTAAATTCGGTCTGGCAGTCCTTTGCTGCGCTTTGCAGATGGTCACCAAGTTTCAGAACGATCCAACATCTGAGCATTGCGTGACAACTGCCGAAATTCATTGTTCCGTAGCTATGGTGCACTGTTGGCAGCATTTCCCTTGCCACCCTTTCATTGTTGTCATGCCAATGGTGCAGGGACAAAGAATGAGACAAGAAGTACAGGTGGTCAAGTGGGACTCTACAACCCTCCTTTTGAGAAGTGTGGTCTTCCTGGAAGCAGCTTGCAAGAGGGTGCAAGTGGGAAGACAATCTGACTCATGTTGGCTTGACTCACTATTGGTAGCCTTGAAGGTCTTCTAGTCCAGGCGTGTCCAAACTTTCAATGACATCTTATCATCCATGGCCATGGCGGAGAGCTTTAACTCCATCAATGTCCATCAATTTCAGACCTGATGTTGGCACTGATTGTTTCAGACGATGCGCGGCTTTAAGATCTACACAACGGTGTCTTTTTAGTGTTCATAAAGGGAACCTATACACCTGTTTTGTATGTTCCAGGCTATCGTCCAGGCAAGTCGTAACTCCAACTCAGCCTCAGATATCATCCTATGGACTGCGGCAGTTACCAAGGCTACTCCTTGGCTTCCACCAGCACATGGTGTCATCAATGTATACAACATCTAGCGGTACAACCAAAGCAAGCATATCTCAAGGATCAAGACTCAAGGGAACAACCTGTTTTCAAGGCTTGGAGAACTACGCTAGGGTGTCGGCCTTATCGCGTGGCCTGGACCTGCAGAGGTTCGCATTCAAACACACGAAATATAAGCCCGGCGTGGTGATTTTGCTCAGACAAGCTTGTTTATCAGCCAAGCACGGGCTGTCAAGTCTGTATCATCATCGCACCATGGGAGGCAAGAAAGGCAACAAAGCGAAGAAAAACGTTGGCATGGCTCAGGAGACAGACGTACCTGACCTACCTCTGAAGGAGCCTGCTGTTACCGGAAAGCTTCCACTAAATCTCGCCTCAGCGCCTTCGTCTGGGCCTTTCGAAGCCTTCATCGAGCAGCAGGTTGCTGCTGATCAGGATGCTGATGCAACCAAGAAAAGCACTGACGACAATGGTGAACTTGCTGAAGGAGAGGCACGTGAAGAAGGGGACGCTAAGGACACGGCTGATGATGACGCGCGGTCAACGGATGCCCCTGCCGATGACGACGACGACGGTTACCTGAGTGATGACAGCGACGATCACCTGGAGCCGGACTGTCTTAACAGCATTATTGCTTTAAAGCGATTCACACTAACCCTGTTGGTGCCGATTGCCAGGAAAGTGGAGGTTAAGCGCGCGGCTCAAACAGTTGCTGCCATGCTGGATGAATGGAAGGAATTATTAACGCCAGACGCGCTGCTGACCACAGCTTACCAGGACCTCGCTCCGATGTTTCTCTCTGGAGAGCGTTATGGCCGCCTGCAGGTTACATTCAATCAAGTTAAGGACGCCAACTTCGTGTGGAACCAGACTATTCGTCACGAATGCGTCAATGGCGACTTCATCGACCTCACCTGGCAGCACCCAGAGGACGCACGTTTCCTGCGTGAGCGCGTTCTGAACCCCACGGCGAAGGAGATCGTAATCAAAGGCGTACCTACGGAAATGTCGGCAGAACTGATTCGTCGTTTGCTGGTGGTGTCAAAACTGATGAAGCGTGGCAGAAGCATATTCGCAAGTGGATTCGGCTTTCATCGGACAGTTGACCCGGTGTCAGGCTTGGACACGGATCGCATTCGTGGGTGCTGACGACGAATACCGCTGGCGCACCTTTGTTGAAGACCCCACCACTGGAAAGAGCTACCTGCTTCACTACCCGTCGCTGACCTGCGATTTCTGCGGTGGGCAGCACATGACTCGTTACCATGACCGTTACGTCGCCCCAAGACAAGACAACTTCAACAACTGGAATGTGACGGTTAAGAAAGTGCACCAGATGAACGGTACAAGCAGAGCGACGCCTTACCTGCCTCTGGGACCTGCTAACTCACTCGTTTTTAACTTCTTACCACTTTCTGACGATTGGCCGCTTCCCTCCCCCCGCAGCTGCGTCCCTGAAAGCTTCAGATTCCTTGAAGCGTATCATACGCGACCCTGCCATCATCCTCACTTCCACTGGTGGCACACGGGAGGAGTGGGTTTGTGTCCAAGCAGTATGCGAGAAGGCGCAGGGGACTCATTTCGAGCAGGCATCGGCTCATATCGTATCCGCCCGGCACAAAGAGGGTTTGCGGAAGGAGAGCTCAGCAACACGTGTCGGCACGTTCCCTCAGAAGATGATATCCTTCAGGAAGGAGTTCATGTCAAAGCTACAGAAGTAGTGCAGGTCAGCAGGACCACAACAGTTGTATGCATCGGCAGAGGAATAAGAGAGGAGGCTGGAATCAACGGCTTACCTGCTCCAGTAGCATTGTGTACCTTTACAGCCCGTGGATGCGAAGGGGCTTCACCGTTGGTGATTAATGGATAAGGCCCACAAAGTTGTTTTTTGTGAGTTCAACATCAACGGACTCGGCAGAGTAGAGAAACAGAGGAAATGCAAGGAATGGATGAGAGAAAAGACGGACGTGGCTATAATCACTGACACAAGACTTCAGGCTGACCACAATTTCTGGACAGACATAACACCAAGTGCCTACGCAGTGTGTGGACAAAACCCTGATGAGTCGGCGGGAGGGGTTGCTATAGTGAGTTTTGTACCTGGACTGGTCTTCGTGAACAGCTTCACCCATGTATCTGGCAGGCTCCTGGCGGTGGTCGTTCGCTGGGGAGGCCTGGAGTTCCTGTTGATCGCAGCATACATCCCGGCTCAGGTGGTGAATAGGAGCAGCTTTTACAGAGACAGCCTGGAGCCGTTTCTGCAGTCCTTGCCGAGTTTCCACCATATTTTGGTGATGGGGGACCTCAATGTGGTCGAGGACCCGGACTTGGACCGCACATCGCACTCCGGCTCCTCGGCAGAGAATCAAAGGCTTCTGAGCTGCTGGGGGAACACGGATTTGAGGGATGCTTTCAGGCACTTACATCCGGACAAGAGGGAGTACACGTTCTTTGCTAAAGCAACAAGGTCCAGCTGGAGAATCGACAGGGCGCTGATATCTCAGCCGCTGCTGTTGCGATTGGTGGAAGCGAAGCATGTGGCGATCATGAATGGGATGACGGACCACTGGCGCGGAATAGGAGTGGTGCTGGAATCTGCAGACACGGTCAAGAAAGGGCCGGGCATTTGGAGGTTGAGGGCGGAGCAAACGAAAAAACAGGGAGTCAGAAAAATCATTAAGAAGATCATCGAGGAATCCGCTGGTGAACCTGCTGACCGGCTGCTAGGAAGGTTACCCGCCTGTCTGAGGGCGTACTCACGGGAGGAAAGGAAACGGGAGAAGGCGACCAGATTGCACCTCACCAAAGAAGTGGAGCGGTTCCGCGTCCGAGTGTCAAGATACTAACACTGTCAACGTACAGGCCGGATCTTGCTCAGGAAAGAGGAGTTGCTGGAAGCGTACGAAAAAAGTCACAAGGAGAAACTGCAGACTTGGGCATGCGTCGAAGCAGAGCTGGATGGGGAGGTGGCATCGGGATTCCTTTCTGCGCAAATCAAAGCACGCAAGGCAGGGACGGAGATCCGCGAAGTATCAAGAAATGGGAGTGTCTTCTCAGGGGTGAAGGAAGTTCTCTCGGCGGCAACCGATCACTTCCGAGAAGCCTTCGGATGTTCGGATGGAGGCGCTTTACGTGTAACGATTGACCGTACCATGCAGCGGCAGCTGGGAGAGAAGAGCAAGGTTTCGCTGGGGGCACCCTGGGCGGAGGAAGAGGTGCGGAAGGCAGTTCGGGAGCTCGCCCCGGGGAAATCGCCTAGAGCAGATGGCCTGCCCAAGGAGCTCTTCGACCATAACTGGGATTTGCTGGGGCCGATCTTGATGGACCTGGTGGGGAGGTTTACAAGGGGAGAGGACCTGCCGCAAAACATCACCACAGCGGTGACCATTCTGCTGCACAAAAAGGGTGACAAAAGTGACCTCGGGAACTACCGACCGATAACGCTTCTAAGCACCGTGTACAAGATCTTAGCAAAGGTGATGGCGAGCAGGCTCAAGACTGCTCTGCACGAGGTCATATCGGAGGACCAGTACGGCTTCATACCTGGTCGTCAGTTGGCGGACGCGGTGGCGGTGGTGGCAGACGCCATAGATGCGGGGGCAAGCGGGAAGGAGGACTGGTTCTTGCTGATGGTCGACTTCCAAAAGGCGTTTGACTCAATCTCGCGTGACTTCCTCTTCAGCACCCTGCGGAAGTTGGGCCTACCGGAGAACTTCGTGTCCTGGACGGAGGGGTTGCACAAAGGAGCAGGTACACGTTTGCACATTAACGGGTGGACAGGTGAAAAGGTAGCGGTGGAAAAGGGGGTGCGCCAAGGATGTTCGCTGGCGCCGTACCTGTTCCTCTGCGCGGTGGAGCCGTTATGCCAAGAGATCAACCGAAAAAAGCTGGGAATCGGAAAGAAGGGTGTGGGCAAGCTGGCGTACCTGGGTTACGCCGATGACACCTCACTCCTACTGCAGGGTGCGGAGCAGCTCCAGACGGCGTCTAAGGTGCTGTCGGATTTCGGGGAGGAGTCGGGCCTGAAGGTGAACGAAGGGAAAACAGTGATATTTCCGCTGGGGAAAAACCGGGGAAAGCCGGCACCGCACGGGGTGAGATACAAGTGGGCGGGTAAAGACGACCCGGAGCGTCTGCTGGGGGTCTGGATCACGCCAAGTGGGAACCCAGCCCCTTCCTGGAACAAGGCGCTGGACAGGGCAAGGGGGGAGTTAGCGAAGTGGGAAATGAGGCACTTGACCACGACATCACGCGTGACAATAATCAACAGCTACATTGTGCCGGTCTTCCTCTTCCAGGCACAAGTATACCTACCGCCGGAGGCCATTTGGAAGAGGATTCACAAATTATGCCACACCTTTGTCTCGAAGGGTGAAACGGCCGAGGAGAAGCGTTTCATACTCTGGAACTACAAGCTGGCATGCACGCCTCGGGAGGACGGGGGGCTGGGGCTGATTTTCCCGGAGCTGAGAGTCAACAGCATCGCTATCCGGAACGTCTGCCGACTGGTGCTGATGCCGGACTCTGTCAAAAAATGGTTGGCGGTGAAGGCTGCGGAATTCCCCCTGGGACTGGACACCGTCTTCGCGCACAAGTCCGTGCTGGATCACTGGGTGAAAGGAAGCGCACGATGGAAGGAGCTGACTGAGAAATTCTGGGGCTCGCCGCTGTGCAAACCGCAAACACCGACAAACCGCTGGGAGGTGGAGCAGGAGCATCTGGCTTTCAATCCAAATATCCCCTACAGTGGTGCAAGCCCTTTCGGGAACCAGAAGGGGGCTTTGGTGCTGCTGGGCATCCGCGTGGGTGACCTGATTAAGAAGGCAGGCGACGGAACGTGCGTACTCAAAGGGTTAGCGGAGCTGACGAGGGAGATGGGGAACAGAGACAAAGCGAAATGGGCGCTGAGAGCTTTTAAAGCGACACCGGCGCGCTGGAAGGAGATGGTATTAACAAAACTGACAGGCGAGGAGATTGTGGCCAAGGTGAAGCTGCTACGGTCGGGTGATGGCGCGACTAGAAACTTCACCTACTGGCAGATCGAGGAGGCGAAGGGGGATAAAGTGACGGGGAGGCTATGCACCGTTGAGGATGGCAGAAGGTTCGCACCTTACGAGAGGTGCCTTACGTTGGATTACGGTCTACGCAGCGGTGTACCGATGTTCACGGAGGGTTGTGTATTTCTGGGGGCCATGGGTGACGCGCATACGAGAATGCTGCTATTAGAGGCATGTGAGGGCGGAGAGCTGATCTCAACAAAAGGGTTACGGAAATTACTGTCAAGCTCTTCTGGCAGACAGGAGAACCAAAGGAGATGGGAAGGGCAGAGGAGGGCAATTGAATGGGACAGAGTCATCACACAAAGGGATTCTCTCGCCACTCCACGGCGGGCACGCGAGGTCCTTCTAAGGCTCCACTGTAGAAACCTGCAAGTGGGCTCGAGACTTTTCTTCATGGGCGTGGTCTGCCCGCACTGTCGTGGCGAGGAAACCCCAGACCACTGCCTCCTGGGATGTCCTACCGTGCAGCCGGTGGTGGACCTGCTGAGGAGAGGGCTGGTGGCAATGAACCCGGGGATAGCGTGGCAAGATCTTGAAGACCTGATCTTCATGCAAAGAAGCACGAAGTCGGGTTTTTCGGAAGGGGCGTGGATTGCAACAGGTCTGCAGCAAATATGGTTGGCAAGGTGCAACGCGGCGTGGAGAAATGAGGCATTCCATGCTGGGAGGGTGGCTCGGCTGGTAGTGATCAACTTTGTCGCGCATACGAGAACGTACTGCTTGGCGCGCGAGGTGGCAGCACGGAAGGACAAGCAGGTTTTGGGGGATGACTGGGCACACCTGGCGGCCGATGAGGCGACGGTGATGCGACGTATCTGCAGCAGCGGTGCACCGCTGTCGTGGAGGATCAGCTTCAGTTCAATCTGGGATAACCCCAGCATGACTCACCAACCGCCGTAGTCGCGTTAGAGGGGAACTGCAATATCTGCTATTGTGGCGCTCCCCTCCCCATGCCAGTTACGACTGCCGATGTCTGTACATTCCTGTAATGTATATGATATCAAAAAAAAAAAAAAAAAAAAAAAACCCACTATTGGTAGCCTTGAGTACAACTCTGAACATCCAAGTGTGGTTGGCTTTGCTGACCTAGCTAGGAGGTTTCCCATTCTTCTCTAGCCTTTCTCCCCTAGGAATCAACCTTCTCTGAGTTCCCAGGATGACCCAACTCCTTATGAGTCCCCTAGGCAATGTTGTACTCACCTCTTCCTTGCATCAATGAAACTACACGTTTTAAGCCGAGCTTACGTTTTCGTTCACTGCGTAGTGCACAGACTTTTGATAATAGCAAGTAGTATACCGTTGGAAAGCAGACACCTAAGGCTAACCGCTGTCCAAGTTTCAGTCTCGTATGTTTTTGGAGCTGATCGTGACGGCGTTTTGAACAGAGGCGGTTTGAAGACGTCAGATTCTGCTTGGGCGGTTTCATGAGCATCTGCGACCTCTAAGTGGACTCTTGGCTATAACAAGTGGTATCAGAGCTGTTCTACCCTGTTCGTGGGTGAATATGGAGGCTGAAGGCTCTGATCCAGCTGGTCCTAGTGGCAGTGGTGGCGTGAGAGGCGCTGGGGAAGCGGGAAGAGGCGTTGCAGGCGGATCTGCATCAATGGCTTCCGTTTCAACATCAGCTAAGGATGATGTGAAGGCATTCAACCTGGAGAAGTTCTCTAGGGATGATTGGGCATCATGGAGCTTCAAGATGGAGCTCCTTTTCAACCATTATGGGCTGCTTGAAGTGATGGATGGAGAATTGAAGAGGCCTGCGAGCGAAGGAGCGACCAAGGAATGGGATCGCCGGTCCAAGGATGGATTCTTCCTTCTCTCCCAATGCCTCTCATCCAACCAGCTGCACCACATCAAGCATCTCATCAAGGAAGTTGAGTGTGGTCCTAAGGCATGGAAGATATTGAAGGATGTCCATGCCCCCAGCAGCGAAGCTATGGTGGTGGTGCTCGAGCGACAACTCCATGCGGTAAAGATCAACGAGGGTGATGTCGTGCAAGGAGCATTCGATCAACTCCGGGACCTTTATGTGAAGCTCTCTGCTGCTGGTGTGGACTACCCTGAGAAAATCAAGTGCTACAAGGCTCTCTCCCTGCTGCCGGAGTCGTGGGGGCCCTTGGTGGTCAACCTTAATGGCATGAAGGACTCGTGGTCCCTTGGGTGGATTCGCGCGCAAGTTCTTCAAGAGGAGTTTCGGAGGAAGGAGCTGACAGCCGCTGCCGGTGAAGGTGGAGGCTCTGCCTAAGGCATGAAGGGCTTCAAGGGGCGTGGCAGCAAGAAATGGAAGGCCAAGGAAGGCTCAGGAGGGGAGCAGCATTCGGGAGGGAAGCGTGGCAACAAGGGAGGCAAGCGGTGTGGCGGCAAATGTTGGTATTGCCATGTGGAAGGTCACCCATGGTTTAAGTGCCGCAAGTTACCTGACGGTTGGAGGCCTGGTCAGCCATCACTTGAGGGCTCCAAGGGTGTTCATGGAGCTATGGGAGAAGGCGTGGGCAGTGAGGAGGGCGATGGAGGTGCTGGCGGATACGGCGGCATGTTCTACCATGTAGGAGAGGCGTGCTCCGAGGACATGGTTGTGCCGGCCAGCAAGGTTGCTCTTCACCGCTCCTCCCATTGGGTCATCGACACGGGAGCCTTCATGACCATGACCAACCGAGAGGATCTACTAGATGAAGTTAGGCCATCAAAGGCAGCCACCGTCGTTTCAGCCACCGGCCAAGTTGTACCCGTGCGTGGCGAGGGGAGAGCCATGTTCATGGGTGCGGATGGGTGGCTTGTGGGGCTGAAGCGTGTTCTCCTTGTTCCTGGATTGTGTGCCAACCTCCTCTCTACCAAGGCCCTAAGTGAGGCAGGGATGAAGATGGAGATGTTGGGCACAAAGGCTTTCAATGCAACTCTGGATGGGCGCGTATTGTGGGACCTCCGAGGCGGCAAGGACATGCACCGGTCCATGTGGGAGATACCGGTGCTGCCATGGAAGGAGGCGGCTGCGCGCTTGGCTGCTGGAGATGTGAGAGGAGGGCGTGTTAACCACGTGGACAATGGAGGGGGTGGTGATGACAGTGATGGTGGGCTCCTTGGGCATGGAGGGGCTGCGCTTCCAAGTGTAACTCCTAGCACGGGTGAGACGGATTGGCTCACCGCACACCGTCGCTTTGGCCACGTGGCGCTACCTCAGTTGCAGCAGCTGTTTAAGGAGGAAAGGGTCCAGGGGCTAAGGATAAAGGGGGAGCCCAAGGAGGTGGGATCTTGTGAGACTTGCTTGACCAGCAAGTTTTCACGGTTTCCCTTCCATTCGGTGGAGGGGAAGTCGAGTGACCCGGTGGAGCTCGTGCATGTGGATATCGTGGGACCCATGAAGGTGAAGGGAGATGGTGGGGCCCTGTATTCCATGACCATGGTGGATGACAACACAAGGCTCACCTGGTCCTTTCCACTTGCAAAGAAGAGTGATGCTGCAAGGGTCATCATTGAAGAGTGGCTGCCCATGGTGGAGCGAGAGAGCGGCAAGCGGGTGAAGGCGATTCGTAGCGACCGTGGTGGGGAGTTCTTGGGAGCGGAGTTCCGGAGCTGGCTGAAGCGGCACGGCATCAAGCAGCAGCTCACCACGGCCTACACCCCTCAATCCAATGGCGTGGCAGAGAGAGCGAACCGGACCATCTTGGAGGGCGGGAGAACGGTGTTGGTAGACTCGGGTCTACCCTTACGATTCTGGCCCCTCGCTATTCGCCATGCCACCGTCATCAAGAACCAAGTATTGACTCATGTGGGAGGGCAGCATTGGGTCCTCATGGAGAAGTGGAGAGGCAAGAAGCCCCGGGTGGATATGCTTCGAGTCTTTGGGTGCATGGGACTCGTGCACGTCCCTAAGGAGAAGCGTGACAAGCTTCAAGCGGCGGCGGTGTGGGCTGTTCATTTGGGACTTGCACAAGGGAGCAAGGGGTGGCTCATGTGGGACCCAAAAGCCAACACCATCTTCACCACCAGAGATGCCAAGTTCATGGAGGGGCTCATGTTCAAGGAGTGGTTGGAGCGAGGGAGGAGCAAGGTCACCATTCCGCTCGGAATAGAGGTGGGAACGAATGACCCACTCCTCATTCCCATCGAGTTGTCTTCATCTTCAGAGGTAACGGAGGTGTCACATGACTTGGGAGGTGCTGAAGGGGAGGCAACAGAGGTGGAAGGAGTTTTGCAGCAAGAGGAGGCCCCTGTAGCTGAGAGAGGTGATGTCGGGAAGGAGGTGCAGCAGCCAACATCATCCCCTTCACTTCCATCAAGGCGGACAACCCAAGGGAAGCATGGCGCTGTCCGCGGTGGAGCTAAGGAGGGTGCAGCCAAGGAGAGGCCCAAGAGAGCTGCTCACCCAAGGGATTTCCTCAAGTATGAAAGGCTTGGGGGTCCCAAGGCATTTCTGGTCCAGGAGGAGGAAGATGATGAGAAGGGAGCCGAGGGAGAGATGGAGCAGATTTGTTGCTTCGGTGTCAACTTACCTCATGAACCGGCTTCAATGGAGGAAGCACTTGCTGGAGATGATCGAGAGGCTTGGTTGGCTTCAAGGGAGGATGAGTTTCAGAGCCTCATGGAGAATGGAACATGGACCCTCACTGATCTGCCCCCTGGAAGAAAGGCATTGGATTGCACGTGGATATTACGTGTGAAGACCGATGCGGAGGGGAAGTTGGAGAGGCGCAAAACAAGACTTGTGATCAAGGGTTTCCAGCAGAGGGAGGGGGTTGACTTTAAGGAGGTGTTTGCTCCTGTTGCCAAGGCTCCTACGCTTCGGGTGTTGCTGGCAGCAGCTGCCATTTGTGGTTGGAAGGTGGAGCAAATGGATGTGAAGACGGCTTTCCTCTATGGCGTGGTAGATGAGGAGATCTACATGAAGCAGCTAGAGGGGTATGACGATGGGATCGGACGTGTTTGCAGGCTCAACAAGGCCCTCTATGGCCTCAAACAAGCTCCAAGGTGCTGGTTTGCAAGGCTGGTAGAGGCTTTGGAGGCTCTTGGCTTCAAAGTCAGCGGGTGCGACGAGAGTCTCTTCATGACCGAGGGGAAGGAGGAGAAGGTGTTTCTTCTTGTCTACGTCGATGACATTCTCCTCTTCTCTCCATCACTAGAGAGGATCAAGGAGGTGCAAGGGAAGCTGAAGGAGACCTTTAAATGCAAGGCCCT